TTTTGGACTGTGTGGGAGGAAGCCGGAGAACCCGGAGAGAACCCACGCTGCACGGGGAGAACATGCAAACTCCACGCAGAAAGATTCCGGTGCGCCCACCGGGACGCGAACCGGCAACCTTCTTACTGCGAGGCAACAGTGATACCAATGCGCCACCCTGCAGCCCAATAATAATAACAATAATAATAATCATAATAATCATAATAATAATAATCATAATAATAATAATACAAAATAAACTTATGTAGTATGGGGGGTGCCCGTGTCCAAAATATGTCCAAATCACTGTGGGCCCCACACAGACAGCAGATATGGACTGATTGTTATTATTAGGTATTTTAGCTTATTGTGTTGTGAGAGTTTGTGGGTAAACCTTTCCCCTTCAACGGCACCAACATCTCTTCTTCTGGATTATATACATAATATATATGAATAAAATAAAAACTCTTTCCACGCCTTTACATGTGATTATATCACTGTAAATCGTCCTAAATTAGACTAATTCTGAGGCACACAGTCACAGAACCACTGATCTGGTGAGCCTTCACTCACTGATATTAATGAAACATGTTAAGCAAAGACAGAAAGTGGGATGACCTTACTTTGCAAAGGACACATTCTATCACATTTTTTTCCTCCCCAGGTTATTATTAGGTTAAAGTGAAATATTTCTAGACCTCAGATGTACTCTAAGTCCTGAACTCCCCTAACAAATCTGTTCTAATGTGCAGTAATATCAACTCTTCTTTGCACAAATCTTTGAAGATGGGCTATGTGTATTTGCTGAAAATGCTGCACAAAATCACGTCTATGCCAGGTATGTCCTGGCGCTACAAAACTCACTGAACTACTTTATAGCTTTGTGCATTTGCTGGAATTAGTCCGCATCTCAGGCCCTTTCGTTTGGTGGAAAGGCAGCCCATAGCCCAAAGATGTTTGTGCATGATAAAGGACAAACATCCAGCATTTATCTCACTGGTGAAACATTTTAATTAAATACACGTTTTACCTGCTGAAGTGTAATGACATCAAGTGACCTGTGTCGGTTTGTGCAGGTGCAAGCTTCAGGTTATCCAAGCTGTTGTGCAGAAATGGGCACGTTGTTGTGTTTTCCTGCCACTAGATGTTACCAAAGATACACTTTCAACTACTTGTCCCTTTAAACCAAAGCGAAGGGCTTTGTCTGCTACAGATCTGTTTCCTCTCTTTTTCTCTGTGAGCTGCAACTCCTCCTTCTGCAGCATTCTTCTTCCTGTTTCCCTCTGCAGCTCCATCTGTTTCCCACCAGCTGATGAACTATCCTGCTTCTCCATTGTTCTCCACTCAGTGAGCAGGTTGGCCATCCTGTCATCCAGCTTTCCTGTTCCTCACTGAGCTCACCTCCTTCTCCCCCAGTTCAGTCCTTTACTGTACACTGTGTCAGTTTCATTTTATTTACAGTGAAGATGTTGATTGCTGAAGCAGTAAAAATCCCACAGAGGTTAGAACATATAATGCCAAGGAAGAAGAGAAATAAAACTTATAAAAGCAAGCACTGTGCAAGTTTCACAATGATGCATTTCTATAAAGACAATGTAACCTTGTGCTCTCTGTGTTCACGTCAATGTCATTGCTTTAATTTACACTTGAGCTGTGGAGGAATTATGGAAATGAGTCGGCTCCTACGCACCAGACACCAGCATAAAATTACCAGATTATTTAATGAGTGAACCAAGCTTGTATTGTATAAGAGGCTCACAGTCTCTGTTTCTTATAGACAAAAACAAATACCACTGCTACTGAATTACATCAGTTCTTATTGCATTTTCATTTCATAAGGTTATTAAAATCAGCTTCAATCAACCTCTTCATTAAATCTATATGATCAAAACACAATGACACAAATGGAACAATTCACAGCCTGTTTGAGTCTCTGTTCACCTTTGAATCCTGTCTACCTGGGAATGAATTTGATATTTGGAAGAAAAAAAAAAACATTTAAGCAAACACATTTTCAAAACAAGTTTCCTTTTGTCTTTACCATCAGTTAAAAACTGTTATTTCTTCCAGAAGCAGAGTGATTGAAAGCTGTTGATTTTTCCAGCTTCCAGCAACACAGCTGTCAGCGACTGGCCTATGCATACGAATAGTCAGCATGTAAACAGCACATTCTCCTTGTTAGCTACCTTGGTTACCTTGGTGAAGTAGGTCTTTTTCTCAAGGTGATATTTTTCACCAGTGGGTTTTTCAATAAGCTCTTCAGTGTAGAAAAATACACAGATAAAGAGACATGGCCTTTTCTGAGAATGCTATTGTACGGCTGTCAATTTTCTCATTCCTAATTGAGAATTCAGAAAGGTATGTCAATGACAACCCCGGTACTGTGTGTTCGGATGTGTGGACTAGCCTTTTCCATTACATTTGCAGACACTTGACTCTATGACAATGCTCCACTCCTTACAGCACAAGGGTCCAATGAAAGGTTAGATGAAAGTGAATCACATGCCGAGGCCTTCACAGTCACCAGATCTCAATCCAATCAACCCCTTATGAGAGATTTTGAACTGATGCATTCGATGGCGCTCTCCTCCACCGTCATCAAAACACCAAATGAGGGAATATCTTTTGGAAAAAGAGCAGCAGAGACCTGGAGAATCAGTGGAAAGGAACATTGAGGCTGTTTCTGGCAGCACATCAAGTCATGTCACCGTTATTTATATAGCACATTTACAATTGAACTGAAACTTGAACATTTAAATGCTAAGATTAAGACCCTACAGTGTTATTTATGATATGAATTTACCAAATGTATAACAAAATAATATAAAAGTAAAATTTTAACCTGACTAAACTAAATTTTAAGGTTAGGTATTGTTAATTATGGAGATTATTTTGGCTTATTTAAATATTAAGGCCAATACCCTAAAGTCATTTTAATTATGAAGATTAATCGGGCAACTTTAGCATTAAGACTCGACAAAAATAAACTTTGAAAACCCAACAAATTCAAGGATCTACTATGAGCAGCAGATTTTCAATCGTGGAGAAGCACTATTGCCTTTTTTTAGTCCCTTAACATTGGTGTCACCTGTCTAACTATTTTCCATATTTGTTCTAGCCGACGTAGGCTCCAGCCCCTCCGTGACCCTACTGAGGATTAAGCAGTGTATAGATAATGGATGGATGGGTTCTAGCTGACGTCTAAGCCAAATCGACATCTGCTGCAGTGCTGGATAGAAACTCATCAGAAAATGGCTACCATGAGCCAACTACCATGACTTAAATGAAAACTAAGTGTCAGTTAAGTGTCAAGATATTCAAGTTTAACCATTCACTAAGCTGCGAGTAAAACAGAAACAGATGAAAGCAACCCTCTACACATGCTAAATCAAGGTGCAAGAGGTACAGAGTATAAAAGCACCAAGCTTTAAGAGGGGAGGCTTGGACTCTGTGTTCCGAAACACAAAAAAAAGTCATCACATGTGCGGCAAAAGAGGCCGAGACCCAGCGTAGTATCAGGTTTGTCATCCGTTCAACTGACTGTAAAAGCTACTGAGTATCATTAATCATGCTGCAGACTAAGAGCACATCATGTTATGACTCTCGGAGCAGAATTTTAGTTTCCCAATGGTTATATAACAATAAGTTGCTCGATGCCCAAAAGCTGTCAGAGATACGGAGAGAGGAGTGTTTCAATGCAAACATTAATTATAAAACCAAACTTTCATTCATCAAAGCAAATGTTTGCGGACTATTTTAAATCCTATAATAACATCAAATACACACAGGAGTACACATGGGAAGTGCAGTTAGGAAAAGTAGCTTTCACAGATAAAACACATCACAAAATAGAGGACAGATCACCGTCTGATCAGTCTGCACTGCCCTTCTTTCTAGTTTTAAAAATAGAACAGTGGTATAATTTTTTTAAAACTGTTCAGTTTTACAGGTGGCCATCACCAGCCCGCTGCCAGACTTTCATCTCGGCATGATGCAACCACATCACAAGCTTTCTATGACATTTAGTTATATAGTGCACAAAATGCAACACACACACATTAAAAAAAATAAAATAACCACACAGAAAGCAGAGGTAGAGGATGTTATAGCACCACTTTCCATTTAATTAATGAATGTCATTAAATACTAATCCAATGAAAAATGATAAAGAAATCTCTTTAGGCCACATACGAGTATGGAATTAACAGCCCTCCCACATCCACCCGCAGCTTTAGTGGCCGTATTCCCATTTTCCTTCCTGCCTGCACACAGACACACTGTGAGGGAGCCAAGTTTGTTCAGTAAACTTGGCCGTCTTTTATAGTTTGTACTGTATCATAAACCTGCACAAGGTCAGGCTTTGGTAGGTTTGCTGTTCTGCAGGCTGTTTTGGTTGTCAGCAGTGGACTAGTTATGGGGGCCAGTTCATAGCGAATATCAAAGCTTCAATAAGGATCAAGGCCACAAGCTAAACAAACTTAAATATGATTGTTCACTCCTTTAAAAAGGGATCTTTACAAGCAAAAAATAAGAATTTCAAATCAAACCCAGCTTTGTCTGGTTTTAAACTCAGTCCTATAAGGGCAAATAAATAAAAAAAACAGAACAAAATACCTTTATTCACGTAACTGGTACTGATCAAAACCATGAGTACGATTGGAAAATAAGGTCCAAGCTGAATTGAACAGTAATTCTGCTCTGAACTTTTAATGCATCAGTATGATTTGGTCTGTGAGAGCTCTGCTCAGCACACACAGCGGAAAGGCAGGAATGTAAGCTTTAATGTCATTCAGTTTGTTCTTCCTCTGCTTGTCTGAAGGCGGTAAAGAAAGAGATCTCTTCCTCTCTCGTCTCAACCCAGTAAGTCACAATGGAAACTGCCTTCTCCTCGAGCCACAAGAATGTCCAGCTCCACCTAAAACAGACGTAATGAAAATTTAAATTGTGAATGTTTTGAATGCAGGCCACTATTTTTGTTTTTATGCCTTAAAATAGCAACTAATGTATCCAACTTATCAATTAATCTGTCCATTATTGTTCTACTTAAAGTGACCAAAACCGCTGAGGGTTTAGTCCACCTAAAATCATCAGGGGCCTTCGCTCAACCATCTCTGATTTGGTAGAAACTTTTTTTTAAAATTCATGAACTAAATATATTTAACATGCTTTTTTGCACATTGAAATTGAGTCTATGTTTGAACAACAGTATCTCAGAAATCATTAAAGATAAAAGCCGCCTGAAATGTTCACCGTTAATCTCATCATGTAATTGATTCAGACTGATGCAATATTGGACAAGTAGATCCAACAGTGTCTAAATATGGGTGAAATATGAAAACAATTCAAGCCATAATGGAAAGTCCCATCTGTGGGCACACACTAAAAATGTGAAATACTTGGTCTCAAAAATGGAAAGAAAGTTACTTTTGTTAATTTTTCATGACTGATTTAGTAGGTATGACAAGTTGGATGACAAAACCAAAAATATTGCAAGATAGCCAAATCAAAGTTTTAAAATAGTTCTTAAAATATAACTAAATAAATGTATTCACTTTTTTCTTTAAAAATTACTGCGATTTCATCATTTAAACATAGACTCAAAATACAATGCATGAAAAAACGTGCCGAAAGTTGGTTGACAGACAATTTTTACATGAAATTGTCCTGTACAATATTTGATATATCAAACAAAAATTTTACCAATATTTTTTTGAAATATCCATATTTTATTTTTCCAAAATTCCATGCAAATTAAAGGTGGAATGACCCATGACTAAAATAAAAATATGATAAAACATATGCCTATTGATGAACTAGACATTTCAGCACTAAACCACAAACTAACTCTAATGAAGTAAAAGGGGGGGAGTTTTTTTTTTTTTAGAGAAAACAATACTGATAGTAACTTGGGTCACTTACTTGGGTACCTGTCACAGGGGCGTCTCTCTCTTGTATAAGGCTGCACTGGTGGGACCCTCAAACTGCAGTTTGATGGCCTGTTTGAGATTAAGCTGTGGGTCTGTGGTTGTCATAGTGACCATAACATCCTCTGGCAAGGCACTACAAGGTGAGACGGGGGAAAAACTGTAGCAAACAGGTGACAAAATGTTCTTCTGGGGTACAGAATCCCAAGCTTCCCCTTGAAGTGGGCTCTGTGGCCGATATGGGTAGCCCAGAGGGGGGCTCTCTCTGGTTTTAGCACCTATGGGGCTGTCCTGCCCCGGCATTATCCCAAGTGAAGCCATCACTGAGTGCCATTTACCACCAGTGTAAGTGGTCTTGTCTGGTTTTATTAGGCTTTGTTTGTTCGATTTGTCATGATATTCGAGTCCAGACAAGCCTTTATGGGGCAGTTCGCAATTGTGCACCATGGCAGTGACTGTGCAAACAGTAGGAGGAGGACTGCCCTTGGGATGCCTCTGGCAGCTTTCATGGAGACTGCCCATGCCCAAGCTCCCTGGTGGAGGGAGGGTGGAGGGTCGGCTACGACTGCGTGGCAATGAGTGCTGTTGGATCTGCTGGATGAAGCTGAGGCTATCAGCGGGCACCGTCTGAACCGTGGCCAGCGAGTGGCAGGTGGATGAAGTTTGGGAGCTCTGCATGGAGTGGAATCGTTCGGCAGTGGAACCAGGAGAAGATACTGAAGAGGACGATGTAGCAGCTGTTACTTCACCTCCATTACTCTGTAAGATGCCTGATGAGAGGCTCTTGTTGGGTTTTGAAGGAGATACAGTACTAGAGTTAGACAGCAGGCCCAGGTATGGCTTGGCTCCATAGCTCTCCAAGAGCCGAACGATGTTAAAGTGTCCGTGTTTTCCAGCTACTTTGACTGGACTGCGGCCATATTTATCAATGTGATCAGGATTTGCCCCTCTTTCCAGAAGCATCCCAACAACGTTAGCATGTCCAACCTGAGCAGCAATGCTCAGAGCTGTTGCCCCCTGGTGGCATGCGAGGTGTATATTAACACCATTGGCTTCTAGTAGACGACGTCCTACTTTAGCATTTCCTGTCCAAGCTACTGAATGCATTGGAGGTCTCCCTTCTGCATCTTGTGAATTGGGATTTGCCCCATGTTTTAAAAGTAAGTCTACAATCTCCACACATCCCTGCCAAGAAGCCACATGAAGTGCTGTACGGCCCTCAGAGTCTCGGGACTCCAGAGGCACACCTCCTTTTTCTATTAGCAGAGTAGCCATATCAAGGCGACCCTCCAACACCAGGAGGTAGAGCAGAGGACGTCCCTCTGCATCCCGGACATCAGTATCAGCTCCACGCTTCATAAGCAGCTCTGCAACATCAGCATGACCCTCTAGGAGGGCGGCACTCAATGCAGAATGTCCATCATACGCCCTGTGGTCAATGGGAGAACGTCTATCCAACAACAGCCTCACAGTGCTCCAATGACCTTCTTGGGCAGCAAGTATAAGAGGAGTGCGTCCTTCAATGTCCATCTCACCAACACGTGCCATGCTGCCTCGTTCTGTCAAAGCAGCACAAACAGTCCGGTGGCCTTCACACGCAGCAGCATGCAGCGGAGTCCAGCCGAGGTCGTCCTTATGGTTTTCATCCAAACCTCGGTCCAGCAAGGCTCGGACAACCTCTGTGCTGCCTCTCGCTGCTGCCAAGCAGAGTGCCGTCCTGCCTTCACAGTCAATGGCGTCCACAGCCGCACCCCAGAAAAGCAGCCGCGACACTGTTGTCATGTGGCCCATCGCTGCCGCAGCCAGAAGGGGAGTAACAGCAGCTGCTGCAGGGATGTTACCATCAGGTCCAGCAGTTTCATCGACATCAGCACCAGCTTCTAACAAAAGCTCAACTACATCTTCATGGCCCTCATAGGCTGCGAGAAGAAGTGGGGTCATTCCATCATGGTCTCTATGCCCTGGATTAGCTCCACGCTCCAGTAATAGACTTGCGACCTCACCAAAACCTTTAACACCTGCTGCTGTAGAGACACAGAGGGCGGCCACTGACAGGGCACTGCGTCCATCCCCATCAGCCAAGTCAACTTCTGCATTGTGGTCCAGCAGTATCTCTACAGCTTCATGATGTCCCATATAGGCTGCAGCGATAAGCGGTGTGCGGCCCTTACTATCAGCTTTGTCCACCTGTGCCCCGTAGTCCAGCAAAGTGAGGACAATTTCTTCATGACCCCCCCAAGCTGCTGCTCTGAGAGCAGTCCGGCCCTCAATGTCACATCCGTTTACATCTGCTCCGGCATCCAGCAGTAGTCGGACAGCCTCACTGTGTCCTCCCCAAGCTGCAGAACGTAGTGCTGTCCAGCCTTCATTGTCAACGTGCTCCATCATGCGCACTGCAGTTTCAGGTTCCTGGCTTTTGGCCCATTCCAGCAGCAGAGACAACACTTTGACGTGACCCTGTCTGGAAGCCAAAGTCAGCGGTGTTTGACCTTGTAGGTCACTAATGAATGGATCAGACCCATGTGTCAAGAGAAGTTTAGCTACATTTGCAGAACCATCATGGGCTGCACTGGCAAGCAAAGTCTGTCCATCTGTAGAAGTAAGCTGGTTTATAGACACCCCACTCTCTAGCAGCTTCCTTACAGATGCCTCCCTTTCAAATGCCTGTTGTAAGTCAGGTCCTTCTTCACCTGTGCCATGCAATCCAACACTTGGATCTGAATCTGAAAAACAGGCTGGAGTTACAAGCCCACTTTTCTTCAACAGCTGAGGGACATCTTGACTGACCAGAGCAGGAAGCTGAGCTAAGGATGTGGTGAGGGCTCTACTGCAGCTTGAAGAAACGGCTGGTACACCTGCCCACAGCATCCACAGTGCCAATAATGAGGGTTTATCTCTATGGTGACCTGAGCAAATTAAATGTGCAGCTAGCTGGCAAGTGTCCTCAACATCCAGGTCAGGTCCCTGTAGGGTCAGAGCCATGGCAAGCATGCTGTGACCTTCTGTTCTGCTACACAGGTACTTCTGTGTGCAGTACTTAACATCAGTCAGCCACTCCGTGAAGCTGGCATGAAACAGTATTTTGGTGCCTCCAGGGCCATCAATGAGGAGAGGAGAGAGGGTTCGGAGTTTGTTCTGGAAATCCTGGAGGCTGAGCGAGGTGTCCTGGGTCCAGACAGCTGTGAAAAGCTGCTGTGGTGTGAGGGGCCTCGGGGCAGCCAGGAGAACGTTGAGGAGAGGCCTGACGTAGATGAAGAGCCCCCGGGGGAACAACCTCTGACACAGCCACAGGTAGAGGCCATTGAGAGTCCCGGGGATGTCCCGGATCTCCCGCAGGCCCACTAGTGCCGCTGCCACGCCGTCCAGAACACGCTCGAGAAAGAGAAAACAGCCGCCGCTCTTGATGTGCAGCAGATTCAGCATGTCAGCCGTATCGGGGGTGAGCTGACGGCGAAGTGATGCTTCTTCATCCAGTCGACAGAGGATATACTGCTGCACGTCACGGACCGCCACAGGCTTCCGCAGGTCATCCAGGCAGAGCCTACGAAAACCTACAACACAGAACAGAGATGGAGTTTTGCATATTTGTTTTTGGACTCATGCAACTCTCTTTATTTCTCTGTTATTTTTTATGGCACAATAGCAAGTTGTTTTGTGTTGTTGTACGTACCTTTGCTATTAAATAGCATAAGTTTTTACAATGAAAAAGACTTCCATTAATTAAAGAACTCTAAGGACAGGGGACAGACTGTACTGTATAATTTGATCGTCACATTTCACTTCTGCAAAACAACACCTCCATCCTTAAATTATTATTAAATGAAGCTGGAACAACAACAGCCCTCAGCCCAATACCAGTTTTTAACAGGCACAAATGCTTTTTACTGTAGTTATATAAGAGCTTGGATGTCGTCATTTAAGCTGCTATTGATTTACATTCACTGATGTAGGTCTTAATCAGCACTGTGCTGATTAAGTGCATGGTTACTATGGATGTTAAGGTCACCTGTCTGCAATGTTATATTTGTGATGATGCATCACATCAAAGGGCCATAACTAAAGAGATTCAAACTAAATGGGGACATCGTGATAAAGGGGTAATGCAATATAATGAATAATCCTCAAAACTGTTAGAGAAACTAACACACAAATAATTTTAAAGTTTTCAAGTTGTCTTGGAAATATATTCTATGTTGTGGGAGTCTCTTTGCATAGATTAATATGATCTCAATGCCACAAATTACAATGCAAGCCTCCTACTAACATGATCCAAATCATACTGTAAGGTTTGTGCTAAATTAAAATTACATAATTACATAAAGAAGCCTCCACCAAGATGGAATAAACACCTGAAAGTCCCAAGATCATCTGCATGCGATCACCACAAAGACCCAGCAGTGCATTGTCTTTGCAGTCAGCAGTGCCTTGGTAGTAATTTAGAAAAATGTTGTTGTCAATCGTTAGTCATTAGAACAAACAGACAGGATAACAGTATTTTACTGCCCAACTATGGCTGCTCACAGGAGGTAGTTTTCATTTCCAGATATTTATAGCACAATAATATCCTGCAGGATCCATTCTGGTGAATTCATACCTGAGAACATCTTGCACACCACCTTGTTATGGCGGCGCATGGAGCAGACCAGCAGCAGCCAGCCGGGCAGCAGGTGTTGATTGGCTGCTAAGAGCTCTGCGATAGAGCCGCTCTTCCCGTCTCCTTCACCTGGACCATATTCTACATCTAGGGAGTCCACAACCAGCATCAGAGTCTGGGCAGGAGGAGGAAGGTCCAGCAGGGGTCCCAGCACTGCTCTGAGGACATGTGAGGAAGAGGCAGACACACAAAGGTGGAGATTAAATATAAGACATGAAAATTGCAGCAGTCATGGGCGAGTGAGGAAGTACAAAGCAGCCGTGATGATGTGAGCATTTTCTTTTACGTTAACTGACAAGAGCAGGGCGACCTTTTGCATGCATTAAATGAAATAATTTGGATCAATAATCAGGCAGCTGCTGTACAGTATTCTGCTATGACTTCAGGCTGTTTTACATCAAGCGTGCAATGTTTTATCGAGTTTCGTTTGTTTTCTATTTCGCATACATTACAAAGAACCTGACCACAGCTCTGAGGCTTTTAGATTTGCAAATGCAAAACTACAAAATCATCTTAAGGAATTTCAGAAAAACTCAAATCAGTCATTGAACTTTTAAACTTTCAAAGTCATTTCTCTCAAACCAAGATCCCAGCTGGCCAAACAGACCTTGAAAGCAAGATGCTTCGGCCAGCTATGGTTTGTATAATGAAAACCTGCTGCCGTTATTATGCATTAAGCCTTTAACCCTGAAATAACGCGGTGACTAGAGCACTTAAACAGCATCTTGCTCTCTAATTAAATGCCGGAAATCATCGTAAAACAGTAAAACAATTCAAAAGTTGGCAAGAGCCTAAATCGTGGTGCAGCTGCCCTTTAAAGAGCACCGGCAGCAGCCACACCCTGCTGTGATCTGAAGGTGAGTCAGGTTAGTGGAACTTCTGAAATGCTATGCTCCACCCAGAGCACACTCACACAGACAGGCTGATAGACGCACACACACTCAATGCATTCCCAGGTATGCTTGTACAAGGGTCAAATTAAGATTTATGAGGAGAGGAAGCTTTTGTCCGGTGAGGTCGGAGCACACAGATCAACTCGACAATAGACATAGGGACTTCAATCTTCAAATCAAGAGTAAAACGAAGACGAAAATCGAAAAAAGAGGACTTTCAAAAATAGATGTCTAAATAGTCAGACACATATAAGATTCTCATTTTTGTTTAATCAATGTACTTTCTGTACCTTTTGGTAATTTGGATAAAACAACATATTAAATGGATTTGAAGAAAACAATTTTAGCAAAATGAAGCTCTGTAAAGTCTCAAAGGACAACAACACAACATCTTAAATATACCAGCGTATTACCAAATACACTGCAGCGCCAAAACACTTTCTTTAAAATGTGTTTTTAATTATTTTGATTAATGTTTGGATGCAAGTGATGGATCAGGAAACACTTTCATTCCTACCACACATAAAACCAGCCTGCAGACTGCAGATACTTTGCACAGTCAAAGTATCTGCAGTGGCTCACAGACTCTGCACAATAAACTGTTTTCATTATTAGGCCGACTGTCTGTTGCCTTTAGGCTGTAAACTGACAGCTCCCTGCAATAATCCACTTTATACACCAGAAAAAAGTTTGACTCTCGAGAGAAAACGATATTTAAGCTTTTGCAAATGAAACCGTAGCAACGACTCTGAACACGACTGCTTTGTTTCCAGTTATTTCACTGTGCAGACCGTGAATCTCTGCACAAAGGCTCTGTTTGCTCTGCAGTAAAAAAGTTTTCAGGTTACTAAAACTACGCACCATCACAATGACACATCAGAAGATGTAAAAGTAAAGTTTGAAGACAATATGGATTGTGCTGCTGTGTGATGCTACATCCAAGTCAAAGAAAAGAAGGAAACATTCTACATTTGTTTGTTCAGTGAATGTCACAGTCTGAAAGCAGATTTCAGGAGCTCTGTTGGAGCGTAAGCTGTAAAGTGAAGCTGTGACACTGAAGAGATAGAGCTCTGGTGGGCTCCAGCACGATTTATCCCCTGCTTATACATCTACTCATTCTTTACTCTACATTCATTTCTGTAACCTTGAAACTTCACTCTAACATAGCTTGGAGCTTCAGTTCAAATTTCCATATCGTCTGTCTTTTACAGTCAATCAACAGTAATGGACTGTTTCTCCAATATACGGTTTAGGACCGCAAAATCTGATGCTTTTTGGAGTCAAACACAAAAATACTGCTGCAAGAAATGACAATGTGAACAGTGAGAACCAAAAATTTAACATAAGACAAGTTAAATGAGACACGAAATGAAACAAATGTGGCACAAAACAACAAAAACAAGACACAAAGCGACATAAGGAGACACAACTTTCCCAAAGAGACAACATAAACAAAGACAAAAAAAAACAAAAAAACACCAAACAACACATAATGGCACAAACCAAAGACAAAACTACAAGACACAAAACAGCAGAAATAAATACAAAAATGTCTTAAAATGACAGAAAACCACATAATCAAAATATAAAAGAAAGAAAATAAACAACGAAAATGAAACTGAAAATAACTCAAAACATCACAAAATGACACAAATTGGGCACAATACAACAAAAACATGGCATAAAACAACACAAATAAGACACAAAACAGCCAAAATGACACAAAACTAGAGTAATACTGATTACAGTGGCAAAACAATATAAATCAGTTATCTTAGTGGAACATTTAGTTGCAGTATTAAACAGTGTTCTATTGTAGAGCACCACAATCAGCTACACAGAAATGAACCACTATCGTGAAATTAAAATTGTAACACAGTAAAATACAGTAAAATACCAGCAACCACTGCCACCAGGATTTTACTGTAATATTGCATAAACATACAAGACGAATAGGTTCCTCCATGAAATGACTCAAAACCCAGAAAGCATTAAAAACAATAAATATATCTGACAGAAGAGAGCGACTGAATTCCGGAATAAAAACCTGAACCCAAGTTCACATAACAAAGAGCTTTTTGGACTCCTTGGGGCTGTTGTTCTTGAATCTAGACTGAAGACCTGAGGCAACTCCATGTGAGGAGAATTAATTAAATCATTCAGTGTTCTGGAGCATTAAAACTTCACAATAAACTTGTAAAAAACAAAAAAAGAGAGAGAGGCAAACTGTTGCTGCCAGTTGGCTAATGTGGCAGCATTACACCAACACTGCCTAACTGTGAAATAATTATGATAGAAACCAATGTTTTAACAAAGCTAGTCACATCAGAGCTGTGTCCTGTCCTCCTGCAGGTAAAGATAGGGTTAAACAATAGTTACTGGAAAACAATGTATACTGTAACATGAAGCCACACTAGAGACCTTCTAGCCAACGTCGTCCTGTTGGTCAGTTCACCTCTTCAGTTCAGACTGAAACATCTCAATAGCTGCAGGATGGATTGTTGTGGAATCCTGCACACACATTGTTGACCCAAACAGTATGAGAGGATGCAGCAGGTTGGCTTTAATTCTGTGTTTTAAAGGTGACAAACAGTAGTTGACCTGTGACACCAGCCCGCTCCGGACGGGTCACACCGAGGCTGAACTCCAGTCACTAATCCTGCAGCAAACACAGGGTGCGTGTCTGCTTGTGCGCTGTTATTAGTGTTAATGTCTGTGTTTAAGAACGACCACAAGGTCCAGTCGGTCTTTAACCCTGATTTAAAGAAAACCTTCAAAGCCTTTATCTTGAAAAAATCGACTACACATAAAAACAGTGTTTCTTTTCAGCCTTGGATAACAACTGTGTGTATCTGAATGTGCTCTGTTTTTTTTTTTCCCTTTCTTTTACACCTAATAATAGCAGATCGAGCAGCGTTTCCAACGAGTGTGCTAATACCAGGAAAGAAGCAGCTCCACGACTGTTTATAAAACACTGGGAAGAGGTCACCGGAGCTGTAAACAGAGCTGTTACGCCAGAAAAGCATGAACGTTCTCAGTTTATTGCCGTGAATGCCCGAGTCACATAAGCAGCTAATAGAAGCAGGGTTATTAACTGAACACACTGAGGTCAACACTCAGAGATCCGGCTCCGGATTCACACATTTGCGTAGGGAGTGGGATGTGAAATTTCAACATCAAAGAAATTAGTCATCCGCACTGATTAGACTTTGGCAAATGATGCAACCAAGAAACATTTCATATTTGAGCCACTGTCATAAAATTGTACATTAAAACCTGCACCATGTTGTGAAAGACAGAGAGTCTGCTCCCTTTTCCACCCAGATCTTATCATCTAGTCAAGTCATCATAATTTATAAAGCACATTTAAAACAACAGACGTTGACCCCAAGTGCTGTTTAATAGAGAAATAAGATTAACGTTACAAATTTACCTGAAAATTTTAAAATACTGTGTTGAAACCCCAGAAATAATATACTTTCCACAAATTAATCTATTTCAAATAGTAAAATTAAGACCCTGCAATATCTATACTGTAAGAAATCAGACTAATTTAAATATTTGGTCACAAAAATATCCTGGCAATATTATATAGAACACAAATTTATCCAATAAATTTCCATCCATCCATTATCTATACACCGCTCAATCCTCACTAGGGTCACGGGGGGCTGGAGCCTATCCCAGCCGACTTAGGGCGAAGGCAGGGGACACCCTGGACAGGTCACCAGTCTATCACAGGGCCACACTTAGAGACAGACAACCAAGCACACTCACATTCACACCTACGGACAATTTAGAATCACCAATTAACCTCAACATGTTTTTGGACCTTGTGGGAGGAAGAACCCGGAGAGAACCCACGCTGCACGGGGAGAACATGCAAACTCCACGCAGAAATATCTCGGTGCCCCCACCGGAACACGAACCGGCAACTTTCTTGCTGCGAGGCAACAGTGCTACCAACTGCGCCACCTTACAGCCCCCAATAAATTTAAATATAAAAAAATAATAAAATAGTAGAAAATAAACAAATGTATATAGAATTTATTTGAACATTTTAAGTGTTAAAATAAAATTTTAGCTGAGTAATTTAAATAATGAGATTCAAACCCTACAATGTTATACACTATAAAACTTACCTGACTAATGTAAATAATACAGTTAGGAGGCTACAATATTTTGCATTACACATTTTATTAATTGATATTAATATTTATTTAATATCATATAATACACAAATTTGCCTGACTAATTTAAATATT